ATGGTAAGTAAAAGCAAAGAATATGGACGAGGTGTTACGGTTGTATCTTTCTTTTATAAAGAGAGGAAGCTAGGTATAATTTTATTAAGGTTATGGTCGTCATTATATTTGTTACTGTTATTAAAATTGTCAAATTTTTATTTTAATTGGATGTTAAAAACATTTAATAATTGATAAAATAGTTAATATTTATTATTTAATATATTAAAATCAATTCATAAATAAATATTTTTAAGTATCATAATTAATTATTTAAAAAATATAAATTGATAAAATTGTAAGCCTTAATAAAATAATTAGCAACAATAACCTCAACTATAATCATGAATTCTATATTATGCAAGGATTTAATTAATAAAAATAAATAAATTGTGTCAATGCCTTTGGTAAAGGAAAGAATAATGAAACATTAAATATTGATAATTTTTTATGGTGTTATTATTTATGCAAATTAAGTCCCTTAGGGGATATTTAATAGTTAAGAATTAAATCTCTACATTGGAGTTTTAAGATCTGAATTTTATGATAAGTGGGGAACAATTTGAGAAAGAAAATGTTATTTTTTATTATATAATCCATTATTTAACATATACATATGTATACAAGTTAAAATTAAGAAACTTCTTTAACAAATTGTAAATAAATAAGCATTAACGTCAACAATTGTCTACTAAATTAAGTATTGAATGAGGAATATGTATTTCTTAATTCTTTGCTAATGTGAAAGAAAAATTATACATTAAACCTTAACAATTCTTAACTTTTTATAAGAATTTCTCAATGTTAATTTATTATTATTATTTTTTATTTAGACCACTCGATATCCAGAAGCCCATTGGACCACTAAGTAATCCAAATTTGGGTCGGGCAGGATCCAACGAGCAGCAAAACTCTTTCTTACGAGTTTTAACGAAACTGCATTTTCAGGCCTTGAAACCAAGACCTTTGATTAAACTGGAAAAGCCTCCTACCAACTCATCCACCCACTTATCAAAGGAATATCAAATACACCAATCAAACAAGCCCGAAGGGACATAATTAAGGTGCATTGTTTCTAATAGATCATAGATTTAAAGAAGCAGGACAACTCTGCTGAAGGGTAATAACTGTTAAGTTGAAAGGCATAAAGAGTTTCTAAAGCATATAATACTCCAACACAAAATGTGAGGATTAGTAACCAATAATGGGACTAGACATTGTTCGGCCAAAGATTTGAAGTTTACTAGCTTATTTAAAGGTCTAGTTACTAAAATAAAACTAAAGAACAGTATAAACAGAGGATTGAATCGATATAAAAAGGCATTCAACTAAGATTTATGAAGGAGGTTATTTACAAAAGCTGTTTCAAACTGCATCCATATCCTGGCAAAGGAAGGGGCAAATACAAAGACAAATAAGGCTACTTTAGATTTCTCCTAAGCTGCCTTACAACTCACCTTAGCAGGTGCAAAATACGAGCTACAAAGTATGTTTTGAATGAGCCAACCAACATGATAAAAGATGGTTGAAGGTAGAGAATAGACCGGCATGTGTGAGACCGAACATAGATCATGTATATTATTTCTCTCCTTTTGCCTTTGAAATCTCTTGAATATTCATAAAGGAGGTTATTTACAAAAGCTGTTTCAAACTGCATCCTGGCAAAGGAAGGTCGAAATCTGGAGGCATATAGACTACTTGGAGTTTGGGTTTCCCACTAAAACACAGAAATTGTAGATGAACATGAATTAGAAATATTGTCCAACCAAACGAATTAATGTAATCCAGTAAAGAATGACGGCTAGGAAGAAGCAAAAACTTCATTCTACCAACGTTAACTCTTTCCAAGTTATATATATTGCCTTGCTTTGCTTTCCTTGCTTGCCTTTTGATTTTTTAGCGTTCAAAGTGCCATACGGAAGATGCTTCCCATTAAAGTGTGCCCTGATGCTGCCACTTGCAGGGTGCTGGAAATCCAAGGAAAGTATCTCCATTCTCCTATACTTTCACTTTGAGAGCGCTACCCTATTTGTCTTGTTTCCTACTCTGCTTCCCGGATTACTAGGAGCGGTGAGACTTCTTAGCTGCAGGAGGCCTATATTGAAAGACTTGTTACGACCTAGTTATTTTCACAATCTAAAAACAGGCATACTGAAATAAAAAATAAAAAATGCAGAGCAATGTATATTAGCCTCCATTTGCTTGAATTAATCAGAAAAAAAAGGCAAAAAAGTTAGTTAGAGGCACTCCATACTTGTAAAGCCAGAATGAATGCAGGTCATTTTCAATGAGGACCAATTCTTTATCTTTCCTTCGATGCAGTAATTGCTTTTGTAAGATTCATTTCAATTAAGGAAGTGTGTCTAATACTAATAGGAAATAACCTTATAAAGAACAATACCAATCTTCTATTTGCAAAATCCTCTTTATTGCTCTAGTAACCATGATATCTTTTCCTAAGACCTGATTTTATTGTAATATTGAGTATGCTTCAGTTTTTTCTGATTCAAAAATTTGGGAAGCAAAGAAGAGGAAGAAATGGAGAAATCAAAATCATTTATCCAAACATAACTATGGTTATTGAGGCAGTTCAGTATGGCACTCCACCATGCAGTGCAGAATAGAATGTGTCAAATCACCAAAATCCATGGTAATAACAAATTAAATCGCTATCAGCGAGATTAAAATCAATGATAAGCAGAATCAACTGGTGAAATGATTAAATTTTGAAAGATCTATGCACCTGGAAGACCGGTTATATAATGCAAAGCAGTACTCTTAAAGGTACCAAGCGTGGATATTGACTTGAAGACAAACGAAGGAAGAGATTATGGAGGATTTTGACTATTGAGTTTGACTTTTCTGTCATAAAGGTTCAATTGTTTGTAAGGTTATCAATGTTCAGTTGTTTCATTCTTTCACCACTTTTTTTTTTTTTTTAAAACACTTGACCGTAACCCTTAAGTTTTTATGAAATGAAAGTTGTCAATTTTCTGTAAAAAATTGAACAAACATGAATCTTTAGTTTGAGTTCTGCACATAATCAGAATGAATTAACTAAAGCTAGTTGTATTTTTTGAGTTCCTGACTTCGACTTCCTGCTATAATATTTGGAATATTTGTGCTGTCGCTTTCTCTTTGCATATTCCAGGTGTATCCCTTTCTAGTGAGCATGCACTTATTTTAAATCAGTGAGATTATAAACCTCATAAGGGACATATTTTCCATTTCACAT